TATTTTACGCCTTCTTAGAAGAAAAGATCCAATAGACTAATGATAAAAAAGGAAAAAAAAAGACAAAAAATATTTGAAACTTAAAACAATTACAGAAAAAGTAAAATAATAATAACAGAAGAAAAAATGAAATAAATTTAAATAAAATATATAAATAATTAAAGACAAAAAAATAAAAGAAATAATAAGACCAAATATATTGAAAACTTGCAATAGCAATAGAAAACTAAAAACTAAAATAAAAGTAAACTAAATCAAAAAGAAGAAAATAGATTGAGGACAAAAAAGAAATGAAAAAATAAGATGAAAAAAAATAAGAACAAAAAAAAAAAAAAAGAAACTGAAATTAAATAAATCACTAGTATTTTTATTTTTATATTTTTATCCTTAGTCTATTTTTTTCTTGTTGATTTAGATATGTTTAGTCTTTTTCTTCTTCTCACATCTAGTCTTTTATATCACTTTAAAAGAATGAAAGAAAAATAAGATAAAAAATAAATAAAAAACTCAGCATTATAAATTTTTAACATATTTGATTTTTTTTTAATTTTTAATTGTTTCTCTTACTGTTGTATGTTTATGATATATTTAGTCTTATTTTTTTTCTTTTTTTATCTTCAATTCATTTTCTTCTTTTTTATTTAGACATGTTTAATTTTTTTGCTTTTTATTTTTTTATCCTTAGTCTATTTTTTTATTTAAGAAGGGTAAAAATAGATAAATTAGTTTAATTTTTAATGGTGCTAAGAATGAGTTTAGATGGAAGAAACTATAGGAGGATAAATAGTTAAACAAAAGCATAAAAATATAAATGATTCAAGGCAAAATCATAGGGGAGTCACTACAAAAAAAAGAGTGATTACTGGAGGATTTTTAGTGTAGGTCAAGAAAACCTCCACAAAATATGTTGTGGCGCATGCAAAATTGGGGATTGTTATGAACGCTACAAATGTTTTTTGTGGGGGTCAAAGACTGCCACAACTTGCAAATATGACCCCCACAAAATTCTTGAATTTTTGTAATGAGTTTTGAACTTTTTCCTATATTTTATAAAAAATATGTTTAATACTTTGAATAAATATTATAATTTAGTCATGACACTAAGAAGTGATCATCACAAAATAATAGTTATTCATAACTTTAGTAGAGAAGAATTTATTTTTGCTCGAAAATCATGATTACCAAGAATATGATGGGAAAGTGATCAAAATGTTGTTTGATAGGTATTGAGAATATTGGCTCAAGTTTACTGATTTTATGTTTAGTTGATTGTTAAATATTATTGAGAATGTTAATTTTTTTCAATACCCGGATGTCATTTTGCTATACAATTTATTCACAAATCATATTCTCGAAAAAGTTTTCAAAAATCTTCTACCAAATATGGGTAAATAGAATTTCCAATACAAGTTTTCCGAAAATCCAAAAATAATCCATGTTCCAAATGTCCCCAAAAATATTTTTATTTTTTTTTGGTAAACGCCTTGTAATATCTATCTTAACACTTTCTCTCTCCAAATGTTAATTAATTTATGGAGAGCCGGAATCATTTTAATAGAGGTCATGTGATATCATTGTCAGTGGTGGACTCAGAAAATTATATGATGGAGGCAGAAATTTATATTACTATTATGCAGTGGCGGACCTACATGGGAGGCTAGGGTGGGACCCCGCCCCCTCTAAAATATGAAAGTATGTTCTACTATATGATATGTAACATGGTCTAAAAAAGTATAATTTTGAAAATGCTTTTAAAAAGTGAAAGACAAGCAATGTTATTCATAAGAAAAGTGGTTCACCCATTCATTGTACCCAATTAGAAATAACTATTATGTACCAGATTCAACCTGCCAATATATATAACAGTTTTGTTCTTGGTCTGCTACCGACCATCCCCAATCAATGTGGAAAGTTGGCTTTTCTGTTGTATACAAAGAAGAGTTTAGCTAGTATGCATATTCACTCTACCTGTCAAATTTGTCTAGAATTTGATTTTATATTGATTGATTATCTAATTTTCTTTTTATAACCTTAAAAAATTTGTACAAATTGTCATGTCAGAACTCAGGAGAAGAGTATTTAAGTTTTGACTTTGTTGGCAAAGAAAAAAGGTCAATAATAATTATCAATTATTAGTTGGGACCAAATGCTAAAAATAAATAACACATTAATTGATTTATTGTGTCTTCTGCTAAATAACAGCTAAGGGATGCTAAATAACAGCTAAGGGAGAAAATATGATTATAAAGAAATCAAAGAAAGTGCAATTATAACACCAGAAGACATGAAGGTAAACAATAAAAAATTGATATTACAAACAAAATATGGGGTCTTAAGGCTAGTTTCTCATTGAAATAGAGGGTCAATGGACCACTGTTACCGAAAACAAAAAATTGACATTCCAACGAAAAAATTGGCAAAAAATTCTGTAACTTTATTAGGTTATTGTTAATAGGTATTTTTGTATTGTTAGCGTGATTATCCAACCAAAACTGGCATTACCTTTTCATAATAGTAATATAAATTTTCGCCTCCCGTCATAGAATTTTCTAGATCCACCACTGTTATTATGAAAAGGTAATGCCAGTTTTGATTGGATGATCACGCTAACAATAAAAAATATCAATTTTTTTTTGTATGTTACAGGGAATAGAACACACAACCACACACTCACAGACACCCTATTATACACACCCACAACCACTAGGCTAACCCTAGTGGATAAATACCAAATTTTATGACACGCGTAAGTTAACTTAGTAAATGAGTTTTTTTTAACTAGCACCTTTATGATAAATGGTATAGTTAGGATTGATTTTTTTTTACCATACGTTCATCAAAGTCATCGTATATTCATCCACTACAGCATTAACCTCTTGAATTCTTTACAGTTACGTTATTTATATATTAATAATGAATTACAATTTTTGATATCTAAAATAGATTTTTTTTAATAATAATATATAATTTAGATTGGGTAGATATTCAATGTACGTATCTTGAAGTTATAGAAAAAATCAAATTATTTAAATGATGACTAATTATATTTATTAAAATCAAGTCAATTCAATTCATATATATTGGCTTCCATCATGGCATGATGATTTTGCATATTGTTCATAATTTTTCATTAAAAAAATATAATGACAAAAATAAGTGAAAAGATAATGCGCATTATTTTCTATTTCTTATATGGGTTCCCTTTTTCTGCAGTTAATGCAGATAAGTTATCTGCACTAAGCCCAATACGACGTCGTTTTGGGACAGAAATCATGGTATTTTTATAATTTTAATTTATTTTAGGGTTATTATAGTCTTTATAATTATAATTATAATTTTTTAATCTTTCAATTCTAAAACGACGTCGTTTTTGAAGTAAATGCAGATAACTTATCTCCAGTATGTGCAGAAATATTTTTCTCTTCTTATATTAGTGTAACGGTCTTTTTTTTTTTTTTCTTTTTTTGAATTTCCTCGAAATATTCTGAGTCGACAGTGGAAGACTAATTCCTTCGAGGTGTAGAGATTGTCTTAGTGAATTTTGTCTCTACCAACAAAGTCTTTTCCATATACACGACCGGAGATCAAACACCTGTCAACATACTTAAGGGATCCAGTCATCTACCAACTATGCCAGGCTTTGTTGGTTCTTTAATCATCATTTCATAGGTGTCAAAATAGGTCGACATAACATGACACTAGGGGTGTTCGCGGTCTGGATTGGATCGGTTTTAGAAGCAATAATCATCCGATCCAGTCTCTTCGGTTTGATCATGTAATCATCCATTCGGTTTGAATTTTTTTTTCAAATCTGATACTATCCAATCCAATTTTTTTCGGTTTAGATTGGATCGATTTTCGGTTTTTTGAAAAGCCTAAAATTTATTTCATGATTATTGTGCAAATAACATATCTTTTGTATATGAGAAAAATGTTTGTCCTTTTAAAGAATATAAGTTTGTGTCATTTTAGATCATAACCGTTGATTTCCGTAAATCAACGGTTAGGATTTATTGGGTTATACTTATTAATTGTATATATTAGTTTTGTAAAGATTTTTTTTTTTGAAATACAAAAGCATCTATAAACGATAATATAGTTTTTTTTTGGCAATGAGATGTGAAGCTCTACACAAATGAAATTTTGCTGATGGGATGTGGCTAGATTTTTTCTTGGGTTTGGAATTTTTTTGGCTATAATTGGGGAAATGTCCAAGTAGGTAGAGGAGAATTAATATATTGGATCGATTTGGATTGGATCGGTTTTCATCAACCAATCCGAAAACCGATCCAATTCGAAAGCTGATCAAATCCAATTAAAATTTGTGAATTTTTTTCGGTTTTCGATTTTTTGCTTTTCAGTTTTTCGGTTATCGGTTTTTTTGATTTGGTCACTGCGGTTTGAATCGGTTGATGAACACCCCTACATGGCACGATACGACACAAATTTGAAACGATACAGATACACGCAATATGAACACGATACTAATTTTTATTGGTGTCAAAATCTTTGACCCAGACACGATCCATAAATTTTGAGTGTTATGAATATACGACATTTGTGACACGTAAATTATGAGTCAAAATTGTTATAAAAAATAAAAATAAAAAATTATGAGTCAAAATAAATAATTGATAAAAAAATTTAAAAATTAGGTCAAAATTAGAAAATAAATATGGATCAAATTCTTGTTGACACGAGATAACACACAACTTCACACAAAATTGTTACATTGAACATCAATTTTTATGTCATATCACCAGAGACACCCCTACCAAAAATTTAATATTAAGACACACTTGATAAATAAGAGGTGGATAGAATATATGGAAGGGAACATAAAGAAACAAAAAGGAAAAAGAGAAAACACAAGAAACCGAATAGGAAGGAGTTTTTTTTGTTTTTTTTGTTGTTGAAAGAAAACAGGTTAGGGGAGCAAAAAACATTGGAGGCGTGCGTGCATCGTGGTGTTTTTCGCGCAAGCTATACGCTACAATAAAGTACACGGTAATGGCCTATACCAGGTAAAATCAGGGGGCTAAAAAATTTGATGTGTTCGGACTTTGGAGCAGCCCTTATTATTACTGTGGGTGTGTGTGGCTTTGTGCTCGGAATCCAGAGTGGCATATACCAAAGTTAAAAAAAGAAAAAGAAAAAAGAAAAAAAGAAAATAGAGAGCCACTAGCATATTTATTTAAACAGAGTGTGTAGGGGTTAGGTTGTTGTAGCATTACAGTGGTGTTTGTTGTCGCGAATAGTTTGCGTCGTTCCGCCACCGAGAGAGGTATCCAATGTTTTTTAAGTATACTATCCATCAAGTGTTATGTGATATTTGTTTATAAGTGTTAACCTTGTAATAATAATTTAGATTTGTTGCGAATCTGAAGAAATTTACAGAGTTAAGAAGATGGGTACCTCATGGAAATTAGCGGATCATCCAAAGCTTCCAAAGGGTAAACAGGTGGCGGTTGTGGTCTTGGACGGTTGGGGCGAGGCTAAACCCAATCAGTACAACTGCATCCATGTCGCTGAGACACCCGTCATGGACTCCCTTAAGAACGTACATACCCTACTCTTTTTCGATTTGGATCGATCTAACTTTTTTTTTTTTTTTTTTAATTTTCTTTTTTATAGATCTATTTTTACACGATTTTCACCTTTCTAACTTCACTACACTCACCATCCATATAGATTCATTGTTAGATTTAGCTTTCTGGTTCCTGATTCCGCCTTTTAATTTAGGCTCTATGTTGTTTGTACAGTGAAGAATGCCGATAAATTATTTTTATTCGTCCATTTCCAAAATAAATGATAAACTACCTGATGAAAAATTAAAAAATTATAAGGTTTGGTGTTTGTCATTTTAAATGACATAAGTTATCTCATTTTAGGACAGAGATAGACACAGAAAAACGAAAATCACAATCCACAGAAAGAAAGTGAGTGGTTTTTTTTTAATTTAAAATTCAAATTTTCTATGTCTGTATCTCTTTTAAAATGACATAATTTTCTGTCATTTAAAATGAGAATCACTTTCCAAAATTATAATAATAAACATTATTATAACTTTTCAATAAATTATAATTACAAAAATATTTTAATTTCCACTCATCGTTTTTGGGCAGAAAAAATGAACTGGAATTCCTCGTAATTGTTTGTTTTGATATATAGGGTGCCCCTGACAAATGGAGATTGGTTAGGGCTCATGGTAAGGCAGTAGGCCTTCCAACAGAAGATGACATGGGCAATAGTGAAGTTGGTCACAATGCACTTGGTGCTGGCCGTATATTTGCTCAGGGGTAAGTAAAACTTAGCTTGTCATCTCTATTGCCATTTATCATAAACCAATTACATATTTTGTAGTATCTGATTCAACTTTTTGGTTTAGGATACAGTATGATGATTTATCTTATAGGTTTCATTTCATGATATGTCTCCACTTTCAAAAATTCTTATTAACTAGTCTTTTGATATAATCTAATCGCTTTTACTCTTTCCTAGTTTAGTTTGAGTTCTAGGATCCAATACAATAATTAACAGCGCCTTTCTTTGTCTTGTTGTATTTCACTTTTCACTTTTCCCACGGGCTTTGTATTCCTATTTCTGGGTGGACAATATATTCTAATCCTAATTTTAATAAATTTCGACACTGGAATCGGAATTTAGTATTTACCATTGCGTGGTGCACACTAACTATCTTCAAATACGGTTCCCTGATAACTGTACTATTTGGTCTTTTGTATTTGATTTTCATTTTCTTGCTTTAAATATATTCCTTGAACGCCTGAGGATTGAGGTCTCTTGATTTCTGATTGTAGTGCAAAGCTTGTAGACCTTGCTCTTGCCTCTGGAAAAATTTTTGAAGGAGAAGGTTTCAAGTACATAAAGGAATGTTTTGAAACTGGCACATTGCATCTCATCGGGTTACTGAGTGATGGCGGAGTCCACTCCAGACTTGATCAGTTGCAGGCAAGTATTTTGGTTTGGAACTTTTGTACCTTCATGCCTTTCAAATTGATTCATTCTAATTAGCTGCTTTTATACAGCTGTTGCTTAAAGGGGTTAGTGAGCATGGTGGTAAAAGAATTCGTGTCCATATTCTTACTGATGGCCGTGATGTTTTAGATGGTTCAAGTGTGGGATTTGTTGAAATTCTTGAAAATGATCTTGCAAAATTGCGTGAGAAAGGCATCGATGCAAGGATAGCATCCGGTGGAGGTCGAATGTATGTCACAATGGACCGCTATGAGGTATTTACATATCAATGGCTTGGAAATGACCTACATTTTACATAAGTCAGAAATCTTTCACTGCTCCTATTTCTATATTTTAGTTTTAATTTTGATGCATAAGTAGCAGCTAAAGCCTTTCCTTTATCTCTCTTCTTTTTGAAAAAGAAAATGTTTTCAAAAAAAAAAATCTTGTTTTCCACTTTCATCTCCCTGTTTGTATATACGACAGCTACAGGTTCTTAAAAGGTGGGATGGGTGGGTTAATAGCAATTATACAACAGCATCAATAACAAAAGCCTTTTCCCACTAGCCTTTGTGGTGTGAAAACATAAGTTTGTTATTGAAATTATGTCTTGTGAGTAGCTTTGTATTTTCAGATTTATATTATTGTATAGGAAATATGCTTTCACTTGAAAATATTTGTGCTTTTTTATTCTGGTATATGTGATGATCAAAATGATTTAAAAACTAACTGCAGAATGACTGGAGTGTTGTTAAACGAGGGTGGGATGCTCAAGTTCTTGGCGAAGCCCCTCATAAGTTTACAAGTGCTCTTGAAGCTGTCAAGAAACTGAGGGCTGAACCAAAAGCGAATGACCAGTATCTGCCTCCTTTTGTAATCGTTGATGATAATGGGAAGTCTGTTGGCCCCATAGTTGATGGGGATGCTGTTGTTACATTGAATTTCCGGGCAGATCGTATGGTTATGCTTGCTAAAGCTCTGGAATATGAAAATTTTGACAAATTTGACAGAGTTCGCTACCCAAAGATCCACTATGCAGGAATGCTTGAATATGATGGTGAATTGAAGCTTCCAAGTCATTACCTTGTTTCTCCACCAGAGATTGATAGGACATCTGGCGAATATTTAGTGTATAATGGTATTCGGACTTTTGCTTGCAGGTGAGTCATCTCTACTGTAATTTTTAGTAGGATTTCTATTATGTAATTTCATGCTAATCCTCAGTCTTCCTGAATGGTCATTTTACTATTGTTGGTGAATTTTTGTAACTACTATGTAATGCATGAAAAGCCATTCCCTTTTATTAGCCCTATGTGATGGAAAAGTGTGTGTGTGTGTTTTGTGGGGGGCGGGGGGTTATAAATTAAGGGTACGTCTATTGCTACTCTTATCTAACTTCTTATTTGACTTTTCTATAATATCTTTAATGAAATAATGGTTCTTGTTTTCTCGATGCTAGTCAAACTTCATATTTATAAGAAAATTTCTAATTATTGACTATTGTGATAAGTTAACTTTTAAAACAAACTACTTTTTATGTTTCTGAACTCCTTGCTTTCATTGCCATTTTTTCTTTAATGTTGTTATTTTGAGTTCATCAGATCATAGTCATTACTTGTTACAAGCTAGATCTGATTAAAATGAAAAAAGCAATTACAATATTGTTGGAGATATTTATAACCATTAATGTAACCTCATCCAATAGCTTAAGCTTTTGGGTTGAATTGGTTCTTTACATGGTATCAGAACCTCGGTGTCACGTGTTCGATCCTCATCGCCCCCCATTTAATTACAAATTAATTAAATCTTGTGGAGTTTCTTAGCACAGGTAGGTGGACCTGTGCACTGTCCAACTTTCAAGCCCAATAGACTCGCGCGTGAGGGGGTGTTAGCGATATATATATATATATATATATATATATATATATATATATATATATAACCATTAATGTAACCTTACCCAGCAGCTTAAGCTTTTGGGTTGAATTGGTTCTTTACAAATATATATTTCCTTTTAACCTAAATTTATCACAGAATTATAAACCCAGGGGTCTGAAGAAGAAATCATGTGAATATATGAATTTAATTTAGCCTCCATCTTCTATGCTCTCTATAAACAGGTTTTAACCAGATACTAGTTTTTCCCTTGGTTTATTTTTTCATTGTCTTATTATTGATAAGAAAAAGAGCTTAGTGTGTTTTATAGGGGGAAGAAACAGACTGAAAAAACATACCGTAGAGGCAGGACCGCAGGAGGAATTGGGATAATTAGAAGTCTATAAGATTTTAAAAAGATTTATTGAATTAACTAATCTTTATAATTTACAATGCTGAGTTTGGACAGATAACAATAGAGGGGAATGGAAATAGACAAATAGGAGTGCCAATCGTCCCTCCCAAAATCATACCTGTTAAATTAAACTACCATTCTGGCTCCTGGACTTAGGGTTTGTGTGACAGTATTTACTTTGCATGCTCTTCAATGTCTAGAACTTGTTTGCTGTTTAAATGATAGCATCATAATTGCATTTATGAATTTCTTCTTCAACAGTGAGACTGTTAAATTTGGTCATGTCACATTCTTCTGGAATGGAAACCGCTCTGGGTATTTTAACCCAGAAATGGAGGAATATGTGGAAATTCCTAGTGACAGTGGGATTACGTTCAATGTCAAACCAAAAATGAAGGCACTTGAAATTGCTGAAAAGGCAAGAGATGCAATTCTTAGCAGGAAATTTGATCAGGTAATTAAATGGGGGATTTTGAGAATCATGGTTCAAATCAAATGAACTTTCACTTACCTTTTTATTTTGTCTGCTGCTTAGGTACGTGTCAACCTACCAAATAGTGACATGGTGGGGCATACAGGTGACATTGAAGCAACAGTTGTGGCTTGCAAGGCAGCTGATGAGGCTGTGAAGGTATGAACTTTTAGTTTTCAAACATGTTGGAACTTTTTTGTTGTCCTTATTTAGGTTTTGTATTTTATGTATTTTAAGTAGTGTAACAGTGATTAACTTATTATTGAAAACAAAAGAAGAAAAAAGTTGTAGATGTTAAAATCTGCTTAAATTTGGAAATAAATGTGAGTATTAGTCCATATCAAGTGAGAGCATTATTTTATTGTGAGAGGAGAGAGGAGTTAATATTGAGTATTCAATCTCGGGAATTTTTAAGAGATGTTATTTAAAATTCACATGACCCGTTTAAAAGTCACATTGCTTTATGTTCTAATCTTGACCATACATGCATGATCCAACGGATAGAATTTGTACAAGAATAATATTTGCAAGATAGTACTATTTGTTTTTGCAGGATTTTGGATCCTCTCATTTTAGCTCCTAAAGGTCATTTGCCATTTTGGGGGGATAGGGGCACACACACACAACAGTGAACCCTAGAATCACACACACACAACAGTGAACCCTAGAATGTGTTGTGTCCATCACTCTATCTCAGAAGAAGAACCAAAATTTTAGGATCTTGATCCATTCTTAATCCACTGTTGCCATGTTTTGGCATATTTCTTGGCAATGAAAGATATAATAGGAGAAACATGAATGCTTTTTATCTATTATTTTTCCATGTTTGCTACAGTTACAATGGAAATCCAAGAATGTTTTGCTGTCTTACTGTATTTTCATCTTTTCATAGTAAAAGTTAGCATTTAGGGTTAGGTTTTTTTAATTAAGTTTTTGTTTAATTTGGTTAATTCTTATGAAATAGCTTTATAGTAAATTTTCTTTTCTTATGGAGTGGACAAGATCAAATGTCTTTTGAATGCTGGTGATATATCCTTTGAAAGTCTCTAGTCCTTGCATTTAGTTTATGTGCTATTATTTATGGCATAATAACTTCTCCTGTTGCAGGAGAAGTTTCCCATTTCCGGCAGAGATAACAAATTGTGGGTCCCACTTTTTAAAAAATAATAATAATAAGGACTGAAATTTTGATGCCTCACAACATGAGGTAATGCTTTCTTCTGTAACAGGAGAAAAGCATTGCCCATTATTTATTACTGCAAAAAAAAGTGATATACTAAAAGAGAGGTGAAAGCTAGATAGTTACTCATTGTATTAATTAATGTGTGTGTAATTACAGATGATCCTTGATGCAATAGAGCAAGTGGGTGGAATTTTTGTTGTAACTGCTGACCACGGAAATGCAGAGGACATGGTGAAGAGGGATAAATCTGGAAATCCTTCTCTTGACAAGAATGGAAATATCCAGATTCTTACTTCTCACACTCTTGAGCCTGTAAGTTATAGAAATTCTAGTTATTCATTGATATGAATTTTACTTTTTTTTTTTATATTTACAATCTTCTCCGCTTTCAATGAGTTATGGATGACTCGTGGGAGCTCTAGTAAACCATTATTAGTTATTGTAACAGAGATTCGTTGTTAACTAAATTGGGCAAGTGCCTAAATATTGACTTATTTTTACAAAAGCATGTAAAAAGGTGGCCTTTAGCCAAGCAGTAAAGATAAAGATCCTAATGTGAGCGCTATTCTTAGCGTATACTTGCGTAATTGTTTTAGTTCTAATCTCTACGTTTCCCTGTGTTAAGGTGCCACTTGCAATTGGAGGTCCTGGATTGTCGCCTGGTGTCAGGTTCAGAAATGATGTTCCCACTGGTGGACTGGCTAACGTTGCTGCAACTGTGATGAATCTTCATGGATTTGAGGCTCCCAGCGACTATGAGCCAACTCTCATAGAAGTAGTTGATAACTAGGGCAACATAAATGGATTATAATTTACAGAAATGCAGTGCAGGTTGTCAGCCTCCAAATAATTAAAAACTTTCATCCTTCCACTTGTTCGGTGGGTTTTGTTCTTTATAACTCTTAAGTCTGCGGTTGACAGAGGATGATAACTATAATTAATGCGATTTTGAGTGAGTTTCCTTTCAACTTTATTTAATTGTCCTGAATAATACTTGGACAGGGTTAATTTGTGATTGCCCGTATGAACTTCCAAGGCCGTCTCTAAATCATGCTTGAGTTATGGACCGTTGTTACGCCTGAATACTGTGCGTGGTTGTTTCGCGTATTCTTAAATGTTGATGGGGGACGTTGATATCCCCTTCTTTTTTTCATTGATGCGAGGCAAACCATTGTTTATTCATATATAGTTTTGGGAAATAGTTTTCTCCAAAGATAATTATCTCATCTCAGTGAGACATAAAAAGACGTGCCTGCAATTTTTTTTCTTTTTTATTTTTCTTTAACTTGTGGGCTCTACATTTCTTGTTAGTGTAGGAAAAAAAACTTCTCTCATGTTAAATGAGAGAAGTATTATCTGTTAGTTTTTTTACAATGATTACATTTTGGGAAATAATTATCTTATGTTGCATGAGATAATTATCTCATGCAACAGAGGCAAAATAATGGGGTCCATTATTTTTTCTTTTTTTGAAAAAGTAGTGGACCCCACAATTTTATCTCTGTTGCATGAGATAATTATCTCATGCAACATGAGATTAATAGATCCCTTACATTTTCATGAACTTTTGATGCCCTTCAGTTGCGGATTCAGGAAGTTATATGACGGGCAAAAATTTATATTATTATTATGAAATGGTAATGCCAATTTTGGTTGGATATCACGTTAAGAATACAAAAATATCTGTCAAGCAGAACTTAATAAAATTACAAAAAAATTTGTCAGTTTTTTGGTTGGAATGTCAATTTTTTTGTTTTCGGTAACGGTGGTCTAATGCACATTTTATTTCAATAAAGAACTAGCTTTAAGACTCTATATTTTGTTTGTAAGATCAATTTTTTATTGTTTATCTTCATGCCTTCTGGTGTTATAATTGTACTTTCTTTGATTTTTTCAGAATTTTATTTTCTCATTTAATTTTTATTTAGCAGAAACAGTAAATTAATTAATGTGTTATTTATTTTTAGCATTTGGTCCCAACTAATAATTGATAACTATTATTGACTTTTTTTCTTAACCAACAAATCAAACTTAAATACTCTTATCCTGAATTCTGATATGACATTCTATACAGATTTTTAATGATTATAAAAAGAAAATTAGATAATCAATGAATATAATATCAAATTCTAGACAAATTTGACGAGTGAATATATTACTAACTAAACTCTTTTTTATATAAAATGAAAAAATCAGCTTTTCACATTGAACAGGGAGGGTAGCAGACTAAGAACAAAACCTGCTATATATGTTGACAGGTTGAATCTGGTAAATAATAGTTATCTCTAATTGGGTACAATGAACATGTGGAACACTTTTTTTATGAATAGCATCGCTTGTCTCTCACTTTTTAAAAGCATTTTCAAAATTTTGCTTTTTCATATCATGTTGCATATCATATAGTAAAACATATTTTCATATTTAACAACAAGTGATATTTGATTTTTTACATTGGAAGTTTGAACCACAGCTTGCAAACCCCAAGCCTGTATGCATCTAGCTTAAGTCCTAAATTAATATTTAGCTGAAGATCATGCGTTAGTAGTGCATATAGGCTAGGAGGATAAGGTCAGGAGTGGAGAACGGAGTTTTTCAATGGAGTCTCGGGTCCAGTTTCGCATTATAACTCAGTAGAAACATCGTTAGAAGTCACTATGGTGCAGAAGTCGTATCAAATGAAGTGATGATGAGGAAGCTTCTAGCAAGGAGTATGAGAGTGAAGCATTGACGGAAAGTTTTGATGAAAAATATGAGGAAGGAAGTGAAAAAGAGAGTTATGAGGAGTTAGGTAACGAGGAGGATCCTACGTTTAAGAAAAATTGAATACATTGGAAGGGAAATACGAATGTCCGAAATTGTGGTGGCGTTACCACGGGCGGATTATAGAACAAAAGTCCATTTAAATCATGTTTATATTTCAAGGATGCTTACTGATTGCTCCATTAGGGTTTTAAAATTCTCAATTTTCTATTTTAGTATGCGTGGGAAATTATTTTTCTGTGGGAGCGTTGAATTTCTTGCCCTTCCCGCAACGTTCATTAATTTTTGACATCAACTGCTAAACCACAACAATTTATTAGTTGTAATGCTCTGGATATTATATTTATTATATATTAAATGTAAATTTTGTCATATTATTTTACAAAAAATTAACTATTTTTCTATTGAACAACTACAATACATCTTAACAAAATCAAGAAATCCAAATCCTAATGAAATTGTTTAAAAATGTAATTTTTCTAAAATTTTGTTAGAAAATATGTCTTAAAATGTTTTAAACTCATTTTTAAAAAATTTATATTCTTAAATAATTTTATTAGAATTTTTGTTTCGTATATTTGTTGAGATATATTATAGTAGTTGAATAGAAAAATGGTTCAAATTGTTATATAATAATAAAATAAAATTTACATTTGATATATAATAAATTAATAATAAAAGCATTACAACTAATAAATTGCTATGACTTAATAATTGGTGTTAGAACTTAGAAGTTTTCATAACGAGATATTGGATTAGACAACCACCTAACCTATGGATAAGGAGCAGGAGATAAAAGGATACCAAAAAAAAAAAAAGAAAAAAAAAGTAGCAGGAGATAATAGGAGAGAAGAAGGAGAAAAAAGGTGATATAAAAGCGCGAGAGATAGAGATTAGAGAAGAAGGGAGAGATAAAAGAGATTCTCATTGAGACTTTTTATGTTTTTTTAAGGAAATATAGCTTCTTTTTATAAATAAATTTTTTAGTCTTTTTTCTTTTTTATGTCCTCAATGATATAGTATTGTTTTCTTAGTGGTACTTCTAATTTAGAGCTTAATTTTGATACACTGTTATAATACAATTATTTTAGTATTTATTTGATTTTGTATTAAAATTTTATCTATTAAGTTTGACTTTATTAATAAATATATAAATTTTAAACTTATTAAATAATTTGATAACACATCATTATAGTATTATATCAAAATTAAAATTTTAAATTAGTTATGTAACTTTGATGTGTGAATCTGTGATCTATTGTTAATGATGTGAATTAAGCTCAGTAAATAAACCTTTAGGATGGGCATAAATGAATAAGTGTTCCAACATACCCTTTTTATATATTTTTAAATAATTTTTTACCATTAAATAAAATTTGATGTTTGTACCACTAATAAAAATTATAAACTAAATAATAAAAAGAAGGAGGATATTCATACTATCTATTTTTCCAGTATCATCCTCTATAATTATATATTCTCTCGAATAATTATTTTTTTTCTCTCTCTTCAGATATTTATCGACTGACGGATGACATAGAGAGAGAAACAAATAATTTTAATATTATAAGTATATTTTTCAAATAGATGATAATAGAAAAATAAAATAATAGGAATATTGTTTTTCTATTGATAAAATAAGAACCATGACGAGGACAACCTTGACGTCTATCTAATGCTTTCATTTTATTTCATCCAGATGTGGTGCTCATAATGAGATTTCTTTATTAGCAAACCAACACATTCAACAATGATAACTCAATTGCACAGGTCCTTTCCTTTTGAGGATAGAGTACTAAATAAATACATGAAACTGATTCCTCCTCTTTCCTAATTTTAGAGGAGGAGGCATGGTGCCTCTTCTGCCTTCCATTCCTCAGCTTCTCAACCATTGAAAAAAAGTCAAATAGATAAAACAAAATCAGCTTTACCATACCCCAAATATATCCCAAAATTTGCGATATTTTTGGAACATTTCTTTCTATATCACTCTTAACCCATAAAAATACAATCCTTTTTGGCCTCTCTCCGGCTTCGCATTCTGTGATCTACTCTCACGAGTTTGGTAAGAGAAATCAAACGATAGAATAACATTATTATTTTTAATTTTTTAAAATATTTTATAAGAGGAGATAAAAATCAGATCAGAGAGGAATCGGGGAATGGAAGGATTGGATGGGTTGATAGAGAGGCTTTTGGAAGCAAGAAAGAACAGAGGCAAGCGGATTCAATTGGTAGAATCAGAAATTCGCAACCTTTGCACCACTGCAAAAGAAATCTTCCTCAGCCAGCCTATCCTACTCGAATTGGAAGCTCCCATTCACGTTTGTGGTATTTCCAACTTTATTCTCTCTATGCAAACAATATATAATCTGTTTTCTTTTCTCTACCTAAATATTTATTATATAGATTATGATCACCTTTCAATTTTCATCATCTTTTTTTACAACTTGTCATAACTTATAAAGTCATTATGTACTGGCAAAAGGGGTGGCAATGTATGACACTACCCTAACATGAAATTTTAGTGTTCGGATCAATTCGTTTTCATTTTCGTGTCGTATTTGGATTGATAAAAATTGATCCGAAAAAGTTAATTTGTTTTTATTTTGGTGTAGTATTTGGGTTGACAAAAATTGATCCAAAAAAATTTGTGTCATGTCATATGTCAATATGTGAACCCAAAATTGATCGGCATTAATTTTTTTATAATTTATTCGTGTCGTGTCGTAAATGTTGGAGATATTAATAATATAACCCAATAATATATTTACATACAAGTTCAATAGGTGAAAGCATGATTATTTAGGCTTATATGAGCTAAAGTCCAATAGATTGCATTATCTCTAGGGTTTTTTAAGCTAGAGATAATACTGTTGAACATTTCAAACTTAATGTCTCTTAGTATAATACTTCAGTATCTCTAATATCTTCTCTCTCAAAACCCATAACCTCCAATAATAAATAGTTTATTCGTGTCTTATCATGTTATGTTGACCCACATATTAAGAAACATAATTTAGGATTTACATTATTCGAGTCGTATCGTGTCAACTCACTTAATAAAAGATATATTATGAGTTTGCGAGTTTTTTGTATCGTGTCATGTCAACTCGTAAAAAAAATGTCATATTTAGGTTAAATGTACTCGGATTGTTTCGTGTTGGGTCGTGTTGACCCGAATTGACACTATCGGGCAAGTCTTGTATAAAATTGTAAATTTGAACTTCAATCTCATCGTTATATTAAAAAAAAAAGAAAAAAAAAAAACTGCATGTCGTTCGTTAACACTTGGTTTGATTCAGGGGACATACACGGGCAATATCCAGACCTGTTGCGACTGTTCGAGTATGGTGGGTTTCCGCCTGATTCGAATTATCTATTCCTTGGTGACTACGTGGACAGAGGAAAACAGAGTGTTGAAACAATAAGCCTCCTCCTTGCTTACAAGATCAAATACCCTGAAAACTTTTTCCTTCTTCGAGGAAATCATGAATGTGCATCTATTAACAGAATTTATGGCTTTTATGACGAGTGCAAGCGCAGATTCAGTGTTCGTCTCTGGAAGATATTCACAGATTGCTTCAACTGTTTGCCTGTAGCTGCAGTGATTGATGAGAAAATCCTATGCATGCATGGTGGCCTATCCCCTGATATGGAGAGTTTGGATCAAATCAAAGCCATTGAGAGGCCAGTGGATGTGCCAGACCAGGGCCTCTTATGTGACCTCCTTTGGGCTGATCCAGACAGAGAAATCAGAGGGTGGGGTGAGAATGATAGGGGTGTTTCCTACACTTTCGGACCCGATAAAGTATCTGAGTTCTTGAAGAAACACGATCTCGATCTTATATGCCGCGCTCATCAGGTTAGGTCTTTTCATTCTTTTGATTAAGAGGTTATATTAATTATGGGAAAAATGTTTATCCTTATATCCTTTTACTCTCACAAAGAAGAAACGAGACTCACACTTTTATTTTTTTTGTCAACTCTCTTTCTTCTTTTATCTATCTCTTTCTCTCTCTTAGAATGACATAAATTTACATCCTTTAAAATAATACACACTTTACCCATTAATTATTGGGTTCATTTTTTCAGCAGCAGTTACTGCCTTAAGCTTAAAAGGACATTATTTTTTTTGGTAGAAATCAAAATGTTTTTGTAATTTTAATTTATTTCAGAATTATAATAGTCTTTATAATTATAAAATTTTAATATTCAAATTCTAAAACGACATCATTTTGGAAGTAAAACAAATAATGCAGTAACTACATACACATTTTTCTGTTAATTGTTAATTATTTTATATAACTCTAATACGTTTCCTCGTAAAAGAGTTTATTGGACTTTAAGAATGGACCATGTACAAGCCCAAAAAATTTCAAGAGACTTAATTAATTTAATTAATTGGTTCTTTACATGACATTAAGTTTCGGTATTACAAGTGCAATTCTCACTATCTTTATTTAATTGATAATTAATCAAGTTTTACGAAATTTCTTAGCACAACTAATAAGTAGGTAGATTTGTGTATTGTCCATCTATTAATATAACTTCATTCGTCAGCTTAAACTTTTAAGTTGAAGTAGTTGTTTACGCTGACAAAATAAAACACTTTTCCATTTTACGACACTAAATTAAACTTGTTTCCTTTTACGTAGGTTGTTGAAGATGGCTACCAATTCTTCGCAGACAGGCAGCTAGTTACCATATTTTCGGCGCCAAACTATTGTGGAGAGTTCAATAATGCGGGTGCACTCATGTGCGTCGATGAAACTTTACTCTGTTCATTTCAGATTATCAAGCCATTGAGAGGAAAAACCACGTAACTGGAACACAGTATACTTTGAAGCCATTTTGTCCAGTTGCAGATTATCCATGTAACTAATCTTCAGCTTAAAGCAGGCAACCTAGCTGTACATAATAGATAATCATTAAATGTCTACCTATATTGTAAAGCTACTCATTTAACTTAAATGCATTCATGTTTAATACTCCTAATCATATTCTGCTTGAAGTTGAACATGCATTTCATAGTCCAAGCAATCAATCTTTTATCCAATAATTAAGAAACAATAATTGGATAAAACGGACAAGGAGGGCGTGGAGCGTTTTTCCATATTATTAGATAATTTGTTTAATTTCTTTTCTTTCTTTTTTAAAAAAAATAAAATAAATTTAACTATACTATTGTTTTTTTTTTTTTTTTTACATAAAGAACTGCTATCATAACTACAATTTATGAACTTTTAACTTTTACTCACCTTAATGTGAACAGTATTTAATATAATAAATTTAAATAATATATATATGTCAACGACTCAACAGCTAGAACAGACCGCAACCTTTGCCGTGGAAAGCTCTAATGGGGAACAGCCGAACAAGTACATGCACTTGTTTTCCAGCGCCAATAAAAGAAAACGCGTTTAGCAATACCCACAAGCAATCTCTGTTTAGCCATGGACACCTGTACAAGTTAAATATCTGAAGTCAAAAACTGTGAAGCACTAATATTTTTAAAAAGAAAGTTCAAGCGAAAGAAATGTTAACTTCTTGTAAAGTCGAGACTCTAAAGTTTTAAAATCTTAGTTTATCAAATAAAACCTTATTTATAGAAATTAAACTCAATTTTTTCCCCCTTCCAGTTCTTTACTTGCTAAGTAAATGGGTATAAAACAATTTATTGTTTGGGTAGTTTTGGTGCTCTCCTCTCATAGGCATTTTTTTTTTTTTCCTTTTCTTGTTATCATCGTCAATTTTTTTTTTTCTTCTTACAATCACTAGTCACATCGAATTTGTGTGTTTTGCGAGATAAAAGTAACGTGAATTTTCTCATGTAAAAAAAAAATTATGTGATCACAATTATTCATTGATGATGAGATAAGAAAGAGAAAAATATATAATTTTTAAATAAGTGATTGTGATCAAATAACATGATCACTTTCCTATATAATAAGGTCCAAATCTCGAAAGGTATAATAATTAAGGTAAGCTATTAAAGAATTTTAAACATGTATTGAAAACTAAATTATGTATTAAACAATATTTAAAAATTTATTAAATATATCCATCAATGGTTGACTTAATATAAGAAAAAAAAAAAGAAAAAGGCCGGAAGTACATGTTCCAATGTCAAACGTTCTTCTCGTAAACTCTGCTTTAAATGGCAGTTATTGGTTATTAGCCATTAAACAGATTGTAAACCCATTTAATAACCCATACCCATACTGGCCATAGCAGTAAATCTTTGGGTATTCCATGTACGTACTCCTTACTCTTTGACTATGACTACTAAAGAGTGCGACTCGCATTAACAATACATATCCAGTGCATTGAACCGTCTCTCTTCTTTGTGATTCATAAATTTTCACTCTCTTTCTCTCTCATCAATTCCCAGTTGAAGGTGCGTCGTGCGTTTAGGGTTTCTCAATTATTTGTCTTAGTTAAGATACTTTAATATGAGTCTTGATCGTTACTTGAATTAGGATTGCATTTAGAGAGATTTCACCTTTGAGGAGCAGATTCAATTTGCGGTTGATCAGACAACCTCAATTTCAAGATTCAATTCCCAGGTATATCACTGCCAAGTGCCAACAACGTTATGGGTTCAATATTCAAACAGATCATGTTACTGCCTTTTAATTGACCTCCTTTCTCAAATTTATTATTAGTGTTAGCTCTTTCTGTCGTTAATATCTGCTGCTGCTGCGCTCTGCACAATTGATATAGATACTTGAGGTCCTGTTTGTATTCAGTGATGGTCTTCCCTCTGTGTTTTCTAATAAAATTGTTATAGAATAATGATCCTGTGGAATTTCTTAGGCTGCTGATGCATCATCTATTTTTCAAGCCCAAATGAGCTCTCTTACGAGGGTATATTAGAGAAATATATAGATCATTGATGGACCTTCGCTTAACAGCTTAAACTTTTGAATTGAATTGATTCTTTACAAAAAGTAAAAATAAAAATTGGTGGCAGGAGTTTCAGCTCCTCTTGGTGATCATGCACTTGGAAAACTTAAGTAATACCAGTATAAGTATTGACCGGTGGTAGTCCTATACAATCTAATGTGTTCTTTAATATACATAAAAACTATAAAGGTTAAACTGATTTCATTTAACTTTTAACATAATACTCTGTTATGTTTATTTCAAGTACAATCGGGTCAGAAACGTGACTAAACTTCCTCACGTTACATCTCCTGACTAGGTAAATGCTCTGCATTTTAGTCATTACTATGTGCTTATGTTGCCTGTAGCTTACTTTTCTGACATATCTAGTGGTTAGCTATTAGATTATATTTTGGTTTTATTGATGATGATTTATCTCTTCTTCCTCAACGGTTCTTTTCTTTCTCTCTTTTGGATTTGGGATCCATCTTTTGGTTTAGAAGCAAGGTTTACTCAATAATAGCTGCTTTTCAACTGTCGTAAGTGGCTTGAAAGTTTAAACCCAACTCCTTTGTGCAATCCTCACTGATATTAAACCACTATGCATCCTTTTTAAAGGTGTGGTTTGTGTCGTAAAAATATTAGTTGTATAAAAAATTTCGAGTCGTGCGGACTAGAGTTAATGAAGATCCAGACATTATTCCAGGACTACACAGTCAACTTTGGAATTTCCCAGGCTGGCTTTTCATTAAAGATGTGTACATAAATTAAGTTATGGCTTTTGCATTTGTTAGAGATATCAATACAAAGGAAAAGAAAAATTATGATTATAAACTACTGCACTATATTTATTTGATATAGTAATTGGGCATATCACTGAAGAGACAACACAGTAACTTGTTACGTTTACCCTCCAAGCATCCATTACATGCATATAAGAAGCCGAAATTAGAAATTTTTATGCCTCAAAGTAAGATATTTGGTATGATATCAGTACTAGGTGTATCATGATTCGCACTGTATCTGTTTTAACTGAAACTACCCTTTTGCTTGAGAATACAGATTGATAAGAAGGAAAAAGCAGAATGAAAGCAGGATCTGGTAAAGGGAGAAAAGTGTGCGTGACGGTGACAGGTGTTGTGATTGCAATTGTATTACTGATAGTGATACTAGCATTGACAGTGTTCAAAGCTAAGCATCCCGTTAACACAGTGGACTCGGTGAAACTAGATGACTTGCACGTGAGCTTGGATATAGCAAAACTAAGTGTAGATTTAAACGTGACCCTGGACGTGGATCTCTCAGTGAAGAACCCGAATAAGGTGGGATTCAAGTACTCAGACAGCACTGCCGAACTTAATTACAGAGGGCAGCTGATAGGGGAAGTCCCTCTTTCTGCCGGAGAGATTTCTGCCGGCGAGACCAAGGGATTCAACCTCACCCTCACCATCATGGCCAACCGTTTGCTCTCCAATTCCCAGCTTTACTCTGATATCACATCTGGTACATTGCCTCTCAACACTTTTGTGAGACTTTCTGGCAAAGTCAGCATCTTAGGCTTTATCAAAGTCCATGTGGTTACCTCCACATCTTGTGATATTGCTGTTAATATTTCCAATAGAACGGTTGGGAACCAAGAGTGCCAATACAAGACAAAACTTTGATTATTCATTTTCAGTTTAGGAGTGAACCTAAAGTCTAGAGTAATAGACTATATAAGTATTATTTTAATTTTTAATTAATGTGCTCATAATTCACTTTGTTTCATTTGCAATTGCGATTTGTATCCCCCTCTCCTCTCTCTCTTGCTGCTGCTGGGAATTTATTTGTTATTATCATCTGCATTTTCATTACTTAACCATAATGCTTACTTCTTTAAGCTAACCTCTATTTGTTTCTGCTATTTGTGTTAATTGTTATGCAATTACAGGAGATTCCTTTCATTCGATGATTTTTTTTTTATTCTTTAATTAAGGAATTGGTGCTCACCCAACATATTCTAATTGACTCAGGCTTTAAGGTGTTGGTATTTATAGTTCAATGTATAAAGCAATTTGAGCCTCTTGTGCAGAAAGAAACATCCCAATGTCCCATGCTACTTCTTTTTCCCTTTCTTCTATTTCTCCCTTCATGTCTTGAGCCCTTATTATGCTTTGATCCATCTGAGCATATCTTATAGCTTTACCATACACCTACCGCAAAGCTGAACACTAAAACTAAATTCGCTTGTAGAAGCTTAAATGCTTTAGGGTTCCTGTTCCAATTTCTTTCATTCTCTTAACACTTGGCAGGTAGAGCGAACTCTACTCTAGTTAGGGGTGTGCAAAATAACCAAAAAAGCTGAACTGAACTATGAATCGAACCGCCCTTAAAATAATCGGTTTTTAAAAATCTGATCATGAACCGAACCGATTTTTAAAGAACTAGTTCATGAACCGAACCGAACCGATTTTTAGAACCAGTTTAAGAACTGAACCATTTCCGAACTGAACCGAACCGTTTTTAAACCGAACCAAATTGATTTTAATAACTTTATTTTTTAAATTTTTAATTTTTTTTCTTTTCAAAAGAGGGTCGACCGAAACCGGTTCCAAACCGAACCGAACCACTTGCGAACCGAATCATTTAAATCAATTCGATTCGGTTTTTCAAAAAATTCGATTCAGTTCGACCTATGCACATCCCTAACTTTAGTCGTTCGAAACTAGCTCTTGTTGCAACAGATTGGATTTGGTCAAGATTTCCATCATTCTGGTTATATCTCCATTCCTTGGGATCCGTAGGAAACATGTTGTGGTGTCCAATTGCCAAATCAATGTTGGTATTATCGTTGCCAAATCTGCAATGATAAGAGGATTTAGTGTGTTTAATTTAGATTATTAATGGAAAACAATCGTTTTCTTTCTTCAAATTCTCGAGAGGATTTTCTATTGAAGTAATTATTTTTTCTAGAAACATGCTCTTATTTTAATTATTTATTTATAATATTAATTAGACCAATTTATGAAGGCAGCAGGAAGCAGATACGAAGTTCGTGGTTGGGTCAGCATTTTACCCCAGTCTGCGAATATAGCTCAGAATATCCGAGAAAAAGTAGTACATGTATTTCTCCTATGGCGATTAGTTGTATGCTAATGTATCAGAGAAATTTGTTACAAATTTAAGGTGTGCAGACTTTGTTACGTTAGGTAAATGGCAATTGGCAAAGCGATAGTGGAAGTTTCACTTTTGATGTAACAAACATGGAATGCCGTGAGGAAGAGGACCCTCTTCATTGAAAAAAGACAGAATCTTGCATTCACCATTGACCGGCCCTCTAGCAAAATACTTATTAGTTTAAGTTGTACCATCTCTTTTCGCCTTGAGAAATTAAAAATAAAGAGCTGAATATTCGGGAAGCTTGGCTTAAGAAAAAGCATAGTCAGATGAACTTCACTCATAGTATAGAAACTAATACTATTAGCACGCTAAAGGTTTATGTCACGAGCAATCAAGAATTGAGAGGATTCTGCCTGGCCTAATGATGTTTTGGGATTCTGAACATACCACACAAAAATAACACCGTCGATTTGGAGGGACAACACATTCGGTGCAATAAATTGTTTCCAATAATCCTGTGTTCACAATGAATTGTATCCTTCTCACAAATGGCTTGTATGAGGATATGGAGAGAGAAACGAGAAGGTTTTGGGGTGGTGATGTTGATAACCAAAGAGGTGTTTGTTGGATGAAATGGCAGAAATGCTGTTCAAAAAAATGGAATGGAGGGTAGGGTTTCCATGACTTCAAGCTTTTAATCTTGCTTCCTCTTTTCGCTAAAAGTGGTTGGAGAATCTCATAAGATACTAGTTGTTTGTTAGCAAGGTTAACGAAAGGGAAATTATTCCCTTATACTTCATTCTTAAAGGCTAAAACTAGTCCAAAGCCAAGTTGGGGTTGGAGAAGTACTCTAGCAGGTAGGAGGATTCTTGAACTACGGTACTGATGGAAAATAGGAAATGGATTTAGCAGAAATACCTTTGGAGACCCAAGGGTTCCCGGGATCCAATCTTTCATTATGCCAGAATCAATGCGCTTGAACTCACCCTATCTTCTCCAAGGTTCATGAATTTTTCTGTCCTTATAATCATTTATAGATGTCTGAAAGGGTCATGTAAAACTCCACTCCTCAAGCAGCTTAACCTTTTTCTGCATTCCATTGTCTGTGGAACAAGATCATGCTATTTGCGAATTAAACAAAGAACTGAGATGATCAACTGTGGCATCCGAATATGATATTACTTTCGAACTTTTTATACCCACAAGACTTCCCTGCTTTTGATACAAGTCAGAAACAAGCATGGATAACAGCTTTCTTGTTAAACAGAGCCTCTTTTCCCGTGGGTGCAGCACCTTGAATGGTCTCTGCAATCCATGTTTTTATTACATGCAGCAAGGCTCAAGCTGCTTGAAGTGTCTCTCCTCTCACGTCAAGAGCTAATGCCTTGGTGCATCCTAATATGACACAATGGGGGACATAGTAGATGAGCTAAAGAAAAGAATGGCCCAGCATGGTTATATGGAGTTCGCTACATATACAATTTGGCTGATTTGGTTGGACAGAAACAATCTTTTCAATCAGCACACTTGGTCTACCATTGAAGCTACATCCAAGGCATACAATGAGCAGCAGGAATTTAGGTTAGCTACGGGTTTACATCAACAACTTTTTTTAGGAATACTGTCATTTATACAAGCTCTTACGACCACGAAAATCATACTAGAAAGTAAGCTGGGACAGAGAAAGGGAAAAAGGGAAGACCCCAGTGCACAAGGTTCCCCGACTTGCGAAGGTAGAGGTGAGCATTATTTGTACGCAGCCTTACCTTTGCATTTTTGCATAGAGACTATTTTTCCGACTCGAATATGTGACTTTCCGGTCACAAGGAGCAACACTTTCTTTGTTAGCCTATCTTTTATAATTTTGCACAAAAAGAAGAAAAGAGTATTCTTGCATCAGCTTTTTTCTCTACTAGAACTAAATTTCTGTCCATGCAATTTTAAGGACGCATTTACAAGGATTTCTCATGTGCTGGCTCAAGATTCAAGTCTGAAGAAGTTAAGATAAGAAACACCGTCTTCTTTCCAAGGAGTTTAGCCACTAGACCCACACTCTTTACACAAAAATAAGGAGTGAACCAGCCAATTTTCTTGACTCTAAAAATCACTAAAACTTGAGTGACAAAAGAAGTATATACTTTTTCTATTAAAAGAAAAAAATGGTGAAACACATACTCACATACCCGAACAATGTGACTCAAGCATCAGAAGGATGGGTAGAAAAACATACCCTATGTTACCAATTATCCTTGCCAGATGGATCATCACTTTTTTGGATATTGTGTTAAATGAAGGACGGACGAAAGAACAAGAGAAGAAAGTAAAGCATCAGTCTGACTATTAGTTGGGATTACAAAGGGATGAAATTCCATAGTCAATAACTATTTCAGCATTCATACTAATAATCAAACAAATCATCATGATAGAAAGCCCAATCTGAAACAACCGATTTGACCAGTAAGATAGCGATAAAGTAACACTCAAGCTTGAACCATAGCAGTCAATGTATGTTATTAAAATTAATCTAGTAACTTGATTTAAAAACGTACTTGCAATAAAAATTGAAGCAGAACGACAAGATAAAGAAATATTTATGTGAGTAGAGTAACACAGGAGAATAATTCATTATAAAATAAACTGACATCAATAGTTTACTATACAATATAGCTGCTACATCTATCAGCTGGGTCAGAATCAGAAGCAGTTGTTAGAGATACATAGAACATGATGAACATTAAAACTAGCAGCACAAAACTTACGAATGAATGTGATGTTTAACTAGTCCAGATATATGCATAAACCATGCTCCATTTAGGTTGAGTCAGAATTCAAGCTTTTTGCATAACCCCGGTTGAATGTTCCTTGGTTTACAAGCCGGTTTCCTGGGTGCACCGGGACAAGTATCTGCAATTCCAGTGAAATGGGGAGGGGAAGGAGGTGTTTTACAATCAACTGAATCACATTCTACATTAGACATTAGAACAGAAACACCCTCCTCACTTTGGTTCGAAACAATAACTTGCAAAATATTCTCATATACTGATTCAAACATGTCATTGTCCGAAAGAGATTCTGCGTCATGAAAAGGATTCTGTTGTTGAACAACATGAAAATTAAGTTGCCGGGCAACACCGATCCTTGATTCATCAAGACACTTGTTACTGTAGGGTGCACGTGCCATGTAATCAGGACCATGTGCAAAGGGGTCAAAAACACCATCCTTGGGTGTTCGGGGGCTACAGTTATTATTATCAACACTGCCACTGGCATTGCGTTCAGAATCAATACAGGCTAGTTTCAGTTGTTTCCTGACCACAGTGAGTGTGAGAGGAGATTGAAAATCACCATTCTCTCTACCAGAGTCAGGAGTTATAGGAACTAGACAATCAGTGGCTTCTACAACCTTAGCCTTAGGAGGAACATCATTGTTGACTTCAATTGTACCAATACTCTCATCCTGTTTCTCCTCAGATTCTTTGCACAGATCCACACAAGCTTCAGAATCCATAAGCAGTTTCAGCTATGATAGCATATGTCAAAACGAAATTGAGTTTAAAATCGAACTGAAACCAGGTACAATTTACCCAACTCTGCAACCCTAATTTACCTGCCCACAACAGCACAAGGACAAACAAGGCTTTGAAAATAACAAGAAAATTTTGATATAAGCAACAACAAAAATAAAGAAAGAGAGATCTAAGGGGGAGAAAAAGCCAAAAATTGAAGCATATTAATTAATTTATTGCGTTGTGGATAAAGTAGAAAAAAGTTTGGATTTTGAAATTTGGGGAAAGAGGAAAGTGGAGTGGAGTACCTGATGATAGTGAAAGCTTAACGGAGAAGAGAAGAGAAGACAAGTATAGCAATAGAAGCAGCCGCCGCGCAGCGCCAAATTACAAAGAGTAGAGAGCGCCAATGAAATCCAACCTAGTTGACTGTACATACTTGTACAGTTTCGAAAATAAATTATCATAATAATCCAACCTAGTTCATGAGAGGCAATTTTATTAACAGCGGATATAAGAATAAGATTTTAAACTCTTTTTAAATATAATATTAAGAAGGATTGAATATAATAATTCATTAAATAAGCGGGAATGATTTCCGCCTTTTGAAGCAGAAAATATTTATCTACCACTCAGACGAAAAATGATGAGCCCTCTCCTTTTTTTCTCCAAATGGCGGATAAATATATTTTGTCTCAAAAGTAGAAATTATTTTTCCTTTCAAATATGAGAAATTTATACTTATCACCAGTTAAGTTTATCATTTTTTATCACCAAATTTTAACTATTAATTTTCGCAATATAATAATTATAATTTGAGGAAGGTTCTATTTACAATTTTTTTTATAACCTCTTATAACCATATCTTAACACCGTTGATTTTCGTCAATCAACGGTTATCATTTGTTGTAAATTAATAATTAATTAATGAGTTTAATTTGTGAAAATAATAACCGTTCATGGGCAAAAATCAACCGTGTTAAGATATGGTTGTAAGAGGTTGTAAAAAAAGTTGTAAGTATAACTTTTCTCTTATAATTTATTGAGAATTAATAATTAATTGATAAGTGTTATTCAATAGATTATAATTGTCAGATTGGTAGAAATTAACAGTTAAGATTTGGTAGTAAGAAGTAACAAACTTAATTGGTGGTAAGTATGTCTTCCTATTAAAATATATAACCAAATTAATGCAACGTTTGGCCAGATAAGATTGAGATAGGTTATTCTACCTACGTCTTGTATTGTCTATCCCTTGTCTACCACTCTCCAGTACCATTAGATCATAATCTTAACTACATTTATTATTTCTCTCTCCTATTGAGATTCTAATTTAATAATATTGGAGAGAGGTAGTCAAAGATAAACAGAAAAAAAAGGTAGGTAGAATAACTTAGTGGTTCTATTTGTCATACCAGACTCACAATTATCTTGTTGACATTTATTGACTAGTCTTTATAATTTACTGGTCTAAGACACTCGTATTAGGAAGTGAGGGATAAATCTTTGGTACCATTATTGTGACACCCTTCCCTATATGCATCCAAGGGAGTTGTCTGTTAAGCGGATTAGAGTCGAAATGTTAACGAGTAAGTTCTGAAAATTTGGTTTTAAGCCTCATTAAAATTTCGTATTCAAATCCGGTCTAAAAAATTTAAAACCGTGTGAAACTTAGCAAAATACATACATGGCTTGCTGAAACAATAATTTTCCTGAAAAAGCTTGCTGCCCTGTAAAAGTCGTATAAAATCGAGTTTTCCGAATTTCATTGTAAAGTTGATATAATCTGAAACTAGACATGTGGGGCTTCGTGTGCTTATAAATTATAAGCGAATCGGAGGTCTGTAGCCCTACGAAACAGAACTCGCACAGTGCTCGCTAAATCAGTTTAAAGAAAATTCGAATTTTAAAACAGACAGAGTTGTTTTCACAAACGAGTTCAGAATTACGCAAATTTACAACAGTACATAAAATCCCAAAATACAGCAAGATAAGACATGTTCTAACATTTTTCCAATCTCCCAAAATATTACACCAACGTCAAATATTTCATATGCATTCAACAGAATCAGCAAACAGCCAGCAGTATTAACAGCAGCATGTAAATAGAATATCTTCAATACAAGTACATCATTAAATGCTTTTTCGTACTCCTGCAATTTATAAAAATTGATCCCCCGAAAGGATAAGAAAAATTCCAGTAGTGTGATAGTAAAACCAGTAAAGCAACAATATTAGACTAGGTACAAAATTCTAAAACAGTCGCATCAACATATAATTTTCCGAACAGATGCTAACATATAATCATAGTGCGTATATAACGCCAAAGTACTAATCATGATGCGTATATAACGCCAAAGTACTAATCATCATGCGTATATAACACCCAAGTAATGTACGTTCGTAGCACTGCAGTGCACGTACTACTAACAAACACAGTGGAGATTCTATAGGGCTCCAAAGGTGAATTCCACTGGACCTATGCGAACTGAGCCACGGTTCCGTTCCCTGGTACCAGAGGGATGCCTATATGATGTGTGCTCAAACGTATGTTTACTTTTATTATATACTTCGGTTTCCAAAATGAATGCATAATATTGTATGCTATGACATGTTTGGCTTCACACACACATGAGAAATGCAGTTTTATGATGTGCATATGCATGACTAGATCATAATAGCATATATCTCATGTATTTTTAATACCAAGCTTCCGAATAACAAATACTTCCCAAAATAGAATTTCCATCATGTCAAGTCCAAGGGCAAAATACAAATGCCATATAACCGAATACGAATCCAAGGCACATGCGAGCAACAATTCACAGTTCCATACACTAGTTAATAGTCACAATAGAACTCACCACCAAACACTTACCTTGTATGCCCAACTATTCATCAAACAACAGCAAACTCAGTCCACACTCAAAGGTTATGTGCACCTAATCAAGCAAGAAAAACCAAACAGAATTTCAAACGTTGGTTCTTATAATTTACAAGCACTAGCCATATCTATAAGCTTTAGCATTTTGCATGGTTTCTATAAGTCTTTTACTCACTAATTTTTCTGACTCCGAGTCCTTTTTCTAACTTGTCAACAACAATAAAACCCAAGCTTTCATTAGCATACAGAATCGGTTTTGTGGTCCATTCCCTAGGAACCCAAAATTTTCATTTGAATAACACTATTTGCGTGGCAAGATTTAATAGGCCCTTAGGGTGCTGTCCACTAAGTTTAAACATGTGTAATTTTATTAATTTACTTTCCAATACAGTGAACAGTCCAGCAACTTAGGGGGTTATTTTTTCCAAGTTTATCAAGTTAATTTTCAAAGCCCTTATGTACTAAATTATATTCTGCCAATTAATAACAAGCAACAACAAAATCCCAAGGTTCTTCCATATGTACCAATTCGATTTTGCCATTCTACTTACCCTACACAATTTCTGACTTCTCTTTAATTTGCCAACACGGAACAGCAAAATCCCAAGGGTTCCCACACACACAGAATCGGTTTGCATCACTAGAAGATGCTTAGGATTTTTTTTATTTAAATAGCCATCTCTTCTAGGCCTAAAGGTGCGCTAAGGGAAGTCTAAAAGCATGCTGGCCAACTACGTTTAACACATGCAAGGCCTAGTTAATCTAGTTAATTCAAAGAGCAGTAAAAACGGTTTTTCAAGCTCACAATAAAACAATTTTAGCTTGCATGCATCAAATACTAGAGCTGTTCGAATGGTTAGAATTAAGGGATGGAAAAAGAGCCAAAAGAAAAACATTTTCCTAACCTACATGTGGTGACCGAATAGTGAGGCAAGGAGTAGAAATGATAAAACAGTCTATTCCCCTAAATATACAAACCAGCCGAAACAATGAGGTGAAGGAGGAGTTTAAGGTTCGGCCTTTACCTTCTAGTAGTACCCAAAACTAACAATTCAATTAAGAACAGCACTTCCTTCTCCAAACTCTTCCAGGATTCGAATTTATGGCTGCATGCAATTGGAAGTCCTCAACAAGTTGAATCGAGCAAGAGTGAACAAGGAAGACTACACAAAATTTTGCCTCACTTCCTCAAGATTTATCTTCGGCCGAACATAGGGTGAGAGGAAGGAATGTAAGCTTATGTTCCAAAACTTCTTGCTTGTTGCTACACGGTCGAACAAAGAGTAGAGGAGAAAAATATACTTAAATGTCTTGCTATTTTCCTATGGGTTTGACGGGGGTTGAGGGTAGAGCCGGCAAAACGGGCTCGGCTCGGCTCGGCGGGCTAACCCGCCTAACCCGTTAAACGGGACGTGATAGGGAAGTTTTTCAACTCATCTCAAAAGCGGAGCGGGGCGGGCTCATTTTTTAGCGGGTTGATGGCGGGCATAGGCGGGCCGAGGCGGGTCAGTGTAAAATAGGCTCGGGCTGGCGGGGCGGGCTGAGTTTTTGAGCCCACTTCCAAAAGCGAGGCGGGGCAGGGCGGACTGACTCATTTTTTGGCAGGTTGATCGGCCCATTTTGCCGGCGGTGCTTTCTGTCCTGAATCTAGAAGATGATAATCAGCTTTGTTCTACCTTTAAGAAAGAAGATGACCGTGGGGCTGTTTGGGCTTGGCAATTAGACATCAATGTAGAATTGTTCTCTCACCTAACCAACGCGCAAGGGACACAAGGTGGATAGGTGTCAAAGTTTACTAACAATTGGAGCCAAGGACTATCAAGAAAAGAACTCAGATTGGTTAGGCTCTCTTAGGCGTACAAGGAGGGATAAGGTTGGATGGTAAGGCTGCCTTTTGCCCAATAGAAACACATGCATGTGGAGGCAATGGGCTGACTTGCTTTGTCCAAAAAATGCAAGCAATCAGAATTTTCTCAATAACACTAGACACATGTGATGAGGAAGGATAGATAATGGTGTAGTAACCATGTGGATTTCTTTAGGATAAGTGGGGATTAGCTAAGGTTGAGGAAAATGCTTTTTGGGCTGGTCACAAGCACTCCTCAAGGGCTCTTGGGCCGTCACCCTTGAAGGCTCTGAAGGTCCAAAGAATATGTTTTCTAAAGGATCACTCATCACATGTACTAACCCGCTAATTATGGTTTCATGTACCATCTAATTATTACTAAAATGTTTATACGTTGGAATAAAATTTATCACACACTTTTAACTAGTATTCAACTTCAGAAAATACACCTACTTATTCCTAACCGCATGTATGCACTAAAATAATTTTCCTAACTCGAATTAATTCCATTCTAATTATATGTATAATTCGAGTTCCAAACATGCTTTCTCCTATTAATAAAAATTATATAACCTCCTAAATTCGCGGAATGTTAAAATTATTTTTCCTCATTTGAAGAAAAAGTCAGCACTTTTCAATTTTTTTTCTCGCCACATTTCACTTTTTTTTTCAAAAATGGCAAAATGCACTATCCCAAAGGAATCCCATATATATTTTGTACAAGATTACTTTTAAAAGTGCATTATCCCAAAAAATTATTTTTCAACCGCATCAATACCGTCGTTTTTCGCTCAAATCCACATAGCGTAGCTTGTTGGGCTTGAGATTTTAATTAATCATACTTATGCACATATGTTAACATTTAGAGAAAACATCAATTTTACTATTGGGATTATAATAATTATCATTTTATTGTTTTCTTATGGTTTTAAGTTCAACCCTTAATTTCATTATGGTTATAATTTATACCATATATCATTTGCAGTAATAATCTTTAAATAAATTAATACCAAATATATTTCGACTGTAACATAAATTACCAACGGAAACTAAAGTTATTTGAAAATAAGCAACAACTGGTGGCCGCTTCCTTTGAAATAATCATCAATGTAAATTTGCAAGAGCTTAATATCAACTTCCAGCAGGTAAGGTATCAAATTTTATTCATCACAAACATTTAAATCACCGCCTAAGTTGACAATCACCAAACTAAACTTAGCAGTAGAAATACACCAAAAAAACCCTCCTTCACCACCTAAAATAAGAAAACGGGAATTTCAAAGAGAAAAGAAAATGATGAAGATTAAAATTACCAAGGGGCAGTTGTGTAAGGAACATTACTTTGAACAATCAAAATTCGTTAGCCAACCAAGAAAATAAACAAATAAATAAACAAGTTTCCCTTTTCCCATCACTTGGGTGACTTACTATCCCTTGTACCCCCATTTCCTTTTTAAGACGCCACAAGAAATTTGATGGCAAAACTTTTTTCCTTTCGTTGAATAATTAATTTCTGGGGCCTTTTCTTTTTTTCCCATTTTTGCCAAATTTTTTACCCTTTGGAGACTTGCTCTTCATATAAGAAATTCTGTTGGCTTTTTGCTGCCTCTCCTTTCGAATTTGATCCATATCTTTGATTTCTGAACGCACATGAGCATTGGGCATTGACTGCTGCTTCTTGCTGCCTTTAAAATTCCTACGACCTCCTCGGTATGATCCTGCATAACATGAACTCAGAAAATTTCATCGTTCAGCTTTACTACTAAAAGAAAAAATCTTACAACCATACATCAATCTTTGACATTACCAACCAGCAGTTACAACATGCAAAACTATTTACCGGAAAGCGGAGAAACTACAAATATGACTTAGAAAATGTAAAATTTTTAAAATTATTTAGCCTTAGGATTTTGTTGAAATGGATCTGATAAGGAACTGCAACCAATGATAGTAGATCAATGAAGATTGCAGTCAAGAGATCATGCAGCATTTACACCAACAAGGTATCCAAATTCCAAATGCTATTTAGGAATAGTTGCTTAAAGCAGCTGGGACTGCACTATAATACAACCATTCCTATGATTTAGTTTCTTTTCTTGAATGCTTTTCGCAGAAAGGTAAATTCATTTATTCCTATAGTCAGCTGCTCACAACTACTTTGTAACGAGACCAATTTAGATGCTTATAAGTATGACCCATATCTTGATAGAAAAACTAAGAAAACTATCTAATGTAATAAAATATTAAAAGCATTGGATCTTCTACAAGTTTATTGGATTTAAATAATTCGTTGAATCTAGTAAACTTTTATCATATTCTAAAAGAAGCCAAAACACATATAAGAACATTTTACATGTAAATGCCACAATAATTCTGACCGGGGAAACAAGATAAGAGAATCCATGCAGTCTCGTATGATATTTTTTCTTGGATAATAAAAACAGTATTCGTCAAATATAAAAAACCAAAAGGAGAAGCAAATTAAGTATATTGCCTGTCAAACTTGATTCCTGAGCATCACCAGCATTATTTGTCCCCTTAAGAGATATCTTACTGTGCGAGCGTTCTTTCCACTTCTTATATATACCAGTCTTGGTGGCCTTCGTTCTTGCACCACTCTCTGTCTTTATCTGTGCAAATAGAAAAATATAAATGTTATGTCCTAAATCCAACTGGTAGGTAAATAAAAGAATCTCATCTCGCATATAAGCACCGACATAAAAGATGGAGCCTTATAAATATTGTACCTTTCCATTTGCTGCAACACGGTCACCATTGTTCAACTTGATGTACTTTTTACTCCTCTGACACCAAAGGGTTTATATATGAGATAAATGGCAAGTTTTGCATAAAATTTCTAAAATAACTTTTTTCTTTCTTTCTTTGACAATTCAACCGTAACTGTTTAGAATCACCTTATCCCAGTGATACATGGATCTTTGTTTCTGAATGCCAGAGCCATCATCTGCAACTAGATCCAGGACAGCTGCTTCCAACCTAAAATATTACATATCATTACTCATCAGGACCAAAACCAAACAGACAAAAGCTAACAAAATAGAATGAAAGAGTGGGAGGGTGCAAGTGAAACAGAATCATCCACGTTGAATGTAACAATATAAAATACAAGCAAACACATTAAACACCAAAGAGAAAAAGTTAGAGTGTTCCAGCATTTTGCTTCTGCACTAATTAAGAGTATAGAAATAGCAAGTGCTGATTAGAAATTAATCAAGTAAGTATTTACCTATTTGAAGCAAAGTCTTCATTAGCTTTCACTGCAAGGCCTGCTTCCATGTGCTGAGAATTATATCAAGATACATGTTATATGGGAGCCAGTTTCAAAAGCACAACCACCACACAGTACGATAACATAGTATATGTCCATATGATGCACCACCGTAATCCAGATAAATATAAAAAATAGTAATACAAATAATGACTTACTTGATTTTTAGGTATTGAACTTATATAGTAATCCTCATCCTTAAAACTTTGTGGCTTTCTCTTAGAACCACATGCTGCTGAAACCAAAGGAAACATAATCAGAAATTAATTGTTAATTTGCCTTCCTCTTCTAGGCTTCTTTCACTCAAAATCCTCAAAAGTATTCCGAAAGTAAAAGAAAACCTTGAAATTTTCTATAAATTTTAACCTGCAAATTCTTACAATGACCCAATCTTATCCATGAAATAAAGGTTATAAGGTTGACGCACTAGGTTATTTAGTGCCTTAAAGTACAAGGCGTTAGAAAGACAATTGCTTTATAATGAGCACTAACATTCATGCCAAGAAAAACAAAGACTGCCCCATAAAAGATCTGGTTTTAAAAACCATGCGAAAAACTTTCTTATCATATCATGGACGGATGGTCATGGTCTCATCAGCAAACTGCAGACCAAAATCACATCCCAACCCACTTTTATTCCTTTTATGAAACCTCTCACGACTTATCTCACGACTAAACGACCAAATACATCATGTACATCCACCAACAAAGTATACAGAGGGAAAAACACAAAGACACACACGCAATGGATATACCAGACTTTCGCCTCTCTGACTGCATAATAACATGTACAGTTAGTAAATGTAGTTTGTATCTGTACTCAGTACTGCAGCACCTAGAGTAATCTAGGTGCGCTCCTCTTTCTGTTCTATTAGCTTTCTGTTTTGACAGGTGTTCATTCGTTGAGTCAGTTAGAGGATTAGTTAGATTTTGGTTAGTCTGGTGAAGGTTTGTTACTCAGCTCAGATGTACTATATATTGCCTATTCTGAGATTCAGAATAGTGTAATCTTTTCATAATCAATCTACTTCATACTTCGTTCCTCCTCTCTCTCTCTCTCACTTTCAATTTCTCTCTCTCTTTCATTTTGTTTACTGAAAAACCAAGCTTCAGCCTCACTGTTAACGATCACAAAAAATCATCTCCACCCATATACAACCTGAAATCTATCTTCTCCACCAAGAGTCAAAACCTATCTACTTTAAAATCTTACCAAACTTTGAGCACTACATTTTGTCTTCTTTTCCTCACGTCATCAACAACCTCATTCTGCATCATAGCAGCTCCAAAATCTATCCACTCTACCTGCAAGGCTGCAACAAAAGCACCTTGACTTATAAAAAAAGTACCCCCTGGACCCTGACACCTGATTCGGGTATATTAAAATCTCCCTTTTCTTCTTCAGACCACACATCTAATCTTCCTTAAATTGTAATGACATGTAATAATGCTTTATGTTGTTCAATGTTTCTTGCATTATGTTATGCTACCAGCTTAAAAAAGAAAGCACCCATAAGAATGTGCCAAGTCAATAAGAGAACCCCACTGAAGCCACCACGGACTTACAAAATGCAAGGAGCCTCTGGAGTACCTCATATCAGAGCCTGGGCAAGCACTTATGAGCTTTTCAACAATATATTAACAAATGGCTCACAAGTGTACCAACCCTGATATTTAAACTGTAATTCCGCTTATACAACAACTACACAATGACACCTATACACTTAATGTTACACCTTTATTAAAGCCTATGACAAGTTCTTGAAGTTGCTGTTCATAGAAATCACCTTAACCACATTTTTACAACCTGGGTTGAAATAGGAACTCAACCGAGAACAAACAACATAAAACACTAGCATAAGAGACAATTAAAAACAAGTTAAAAAAAGTAACCATGAGAAGCATAACCCATTTTACAAACCAAAAAATAAAACAATCATACTTGAAGAAAGTCTAATGACCATATAAAAGGAACAAAACCTTTTCTCCTTTTTTCCATGGAAGGAGTGATTTCTGATTGAATTTCCTCCTGCAAGGAGCAAACAAATATATCCTCAAGAATGAATATATGGAAAAGAAAATGCAAAAATAAAACTAACTACACTGATTCCAATCAGTCAACAGATTAAAGAAGGTTATTAAAAAAAGGATGTCAATTGTCCAAATCCAAATTACACCAATAGGCACATACCTTTTCGATGTTACTCTTAGAATGCTGCTCATGAACCAAGTTTATAATATTTTCATGAATAGCTCTTTTCCTTTTCATCACATCAACCCATTGGCCAGAAGGGCCCTGCAATTATTAAGCATCATTTTCAATGTAAAGGTAAAGCAGAAAGATAGCAATGTAGACATGCACATCATAACAGATATTTCAAGAGGGTTTTCAGGTAGAAGGCTGTGTAAACTCCAACATAATATATCATGGAACATGAATAAAATATGAACAAGGACTTCAATATACATGACATGACATGTCATAATCATGAATACAACACACCAAAATTCAAACCATAAAAACAAGATAGGAAATTGACGTAAAAGATAAATGTTGAAGTAATGACATCATCACAACTAATGTTTAACACATAATAGGATGTATATGCTACAAACAAAGCAATTATAATTTTCATATCCGAATGAGAAAAGTTATCTTCAGACTTCAATAAATGCTTAAAGGAAATGTCCAAGGAGAGCCTTGCATTGTGCATATTTGTTGTTGAGAAAAGCCATCAATACATGTCTGAGAATTGTCAAACTATCACAAACATTCAAGCATGCATCTGGTTGTGGAGGTATCAAACAAGCATCTATGTCCAACGCATGTCATACAAGTGGAATATGACCTCCAATAATCAATGATGCAAGTCATTTACAAACAATCCATTGCACATAAATGCTATCCTCTTATCAATCACAATACGTTTCATTTTAAAAAATTTGGAGCAGGGGACAACTCATGCCTGAAATAGAGAGAACAGAGGAAAGAGGGTAAAGGAAGGGAAGGCTGGGTAAGGGATCAGATCTAAGTACATTTTTGCCAACTTATAATTTTACACCTAGTGAAGAAGAGTAGGCAATCAAACTAAATACGATATGATATAGAAGTTAAACTGTCAATTATCACTATAACAACTTACATCACTCCCTATACTCCACAGGGCTAAATAAATAGAGAGATAAAGAAATAAAAGAAAAGAAGGAAAGATAAACCAAGGCTTGAGCTTAAGTGAAAGGAGAAACAATACAATGAGGGATTTATATATAATTTTCCCACTAACTAATATTTCAAAAGGAATCCAAAATGTGTCAAGCCAGTGAAGCAAATATAGAATTAATAACAAACAAAAAGAACCATATCATCCACCATGATTATCCGACTTTAACGTATGCAAATATATTAAAATGGAAAATGTTGAGATGCATAAGAGAAGCAAGGATTTTAATCACTGGAAGGGGGGAACTAGAACATTGTATTCTAAATATAAAATCAAACAGTAAATTATTGTATTAGACCAAAATTCTTAATCGAGGAAAATATGGATAGTATACTGAAAGTAGAAACCTACCTGTACATGCTTGGATTTAGCTGCTTCCCCTTCAGCTTCCAAAATGGTCTGCTTTGGCCTGATATTGAATGATTAAAGCTAAGCAACTACACAATCAACTAAAAAAAGTTTAGTAGAAAGGACTCCAGTATATAAATATAATCTGGCACTCACCTAAAATTCTTCAAATGCTCCGAAAATGCAAGTGCCATTAACTCCCCCCTTTCCAACACATTCTGGAAAATTGGATGCAGCCCTTCACGGGGCAAATCCTTTACTCTTCTAATGGACTCCTTTGAGGGTAAGGGTTTTGTTTTTGAGTATAACCGAAATGCATTTGTACAGGTTTTCAGCAATGATTCCAGTTCTGCAGAAGTATCGATAACTTCCCTAACTCTGTCTGAAACAAGGTCAATGACTTTTTGGGGGAAACGACCATAAATGGTTTCCCCATTTGCCATTGCCTGGTCAGTCTTTGACATTACTCCATCCATATCCTGCAAGACCTCTTCTTCAGTGGGAGCAGCTTTGATAGGTTTTGAGAGAAACAAATGAAGATCCAAAAGGTAAGCCAAATCCTCTGAAGTCAAGAAAGAATAAGCAGTACCAGTACGACCAGCCCTTGCAACCCTTCCAACTCGATGAACAAATATTTTAGGCTTTGGAGGAAAGTCCCAATTGATAACATTATCAAGTAATGGAATGTCAATGCCCCTAGCTGCCACGTCTGTAACAATCAACAACATGGTCTTTCTAGCCCTAAACCTTGATACATGGATTTTGCGTGCATCTTGATCCATGTCGCCATAACATACAGATGGCTCAATACCCTCTTCTCGAAACAATACATTAAGAAACTCCACATGATGTTTTGTGGATACAAAAATTAATGTCTGCTCATCAGAACCAATATGCTCCCTAATCAAATAAAGCAATGCCGCACACTTCTCTTCCTGCCTCAAAGTGAAAAAGGCAAGCTTCAAGTCTGGGCTAATTTTAGTTTCCAAATCAAGCCGGATAAGCTGAGGGTCTCGCAAACCGGCCTTAGCAAACTCTGCAAGGGCGCTGGGTAACGTAGCACTGAAGAGCAGTGTCTGACGGTTCTCACCAAGCTGAGCAAGAATTTTATGCAACTGCTCAGCAAAACCCATGCCGAACAAACAATCAGCCTCGTCAAAAACAACATACTCAACGCTACGCAAGGACATGTCATCAACCTCAGACAAATGGTGCATAAGCCTACCAGGAGTGGCTATTATAATGTCAGGACTCTGAGCCAGCTCCTCAAACTGACTTTCCATACTATCTCCGCCAACTAACAAACTCACACGAAGGTCTGAAAATAATAATAATAATAAGAATCAAAGCAAGGTTGGTTCCCCAAAAATAAAAAAATAAAGAAGAAGCAAACTTGAAACAAAAAACAAAACCTGTGAAGTGACCAAGCTCCTTGGTGAATTTGAGAGTCTGAAGGGCCAAGTCCCTAGTAGGGGACAAAATGAGGGCTCTAACTCCACCCTGAGGAAGATGCTGGTTGAGGCGGTGTATCATTGGGACAAGAAACGCAGCCGTTTTGCCAGAGCCGGTACGAGCCATGGCCACAATGTCAGAGCCAGAAAGGATGAGAGGCATGGTCTTCCTCTGAATTGGAGTGGGCACTTTGTACCCTTTGCGCTTGATTCCCTTGAACACATTCGGACTCAGACCTAGTGACTCAAAGCCCCCAGATTTTGGCTTCTTCTTGTCCTTCCTCGAACTCCTTCCTTCACCTCCCATCTTTTGCTCAGCAAGGTGAGAACCTATGACCTGAAACAAAAACTGACGGCTTCAACCAAAAAGATATAAGTAGGGGTTGATTACTTTCTAGGTATGTAACCCACCTTGCGATAATTTATCTTCTTTTTCTTTTTTCTTTTTTCTTTTTTTCTTGAAAGATGTCAATTTAAACAATATCACTAATTTATACAATGTTATTGGAGAAGAAGAGACGCTTAACAATTAAATAGAAAAAAAAAAAAAAAATCTTATTCTCATTCTTAAATATTATTATTGTAATGCATTAAAATTATGAACAAGAAATTTACTATTATTTTCTTTTTCACCAATGTTATATAAAGGTAGCACCCACACGTCAATCCTACAAAAATATGGATGTTGGGACATATTTTAATATCAAATAATATTTTTAATTTATATAGTGTATACTTCATTTAATATTCAATAATTTAACAAAAAAATAAACTAAACTAGTAATACCCATCAATTTAACCAAAAAATAAATAAATCTTTTTCATAATACTATTATATTAATCTAAAGCAAAAATAATTGCATATCCATAGAACACTATGAACAAAATAATTACTTATGCAAATATAGAACAAATAAATTAAGAGAAAAATAAAACGACGTCGTTTTGGTATTGAAATATTGAAAAATTATAAATATAAAGACTATTATAACTCTGAAATAAATTAAAACTACAAAAATACCATGATTTCTGTCTCAAAACGACGTCGTATTGGGCTTACTGCATATAACTTATCTACAGTAACTGCAGAAAAAGCAGACCCTTAAATTAAAACAGTAACATAAGCTCGTTTTCTCTGTTCTCCGTTCCTAAACACTATGAACAAACCAATTTGACTGTGTTGCTTATTTGGAGACGAGAGTGGTTCTTTTTTTGAGATTTTTCATTCTTTATTAAGAGACTAATATAATAAGAGGAAAGACCTTTTTTGATCCTTAACAAAAAACACGATCCTCACTTTAGTCCCTTACAAAAATAAATTAGTCAGTTAGTCCTTAACAAATTCAAGGTAGACCCATTTTAGTCCTTTTGAGAGACTAATATGGGTCTTTTTTGAATTCGTGAGGGACCACGATTTCAACTAAATGGGTCCACTTTGAATTTGTTAGGGACTAACTGACTAATTTATTTTTGTAAAGGACTAAAGTGGGGGACCGTGTTTTTTGTTAGGGACTAAAAAGGGTATTTCCTCATATAATAAATTGATTGTGTTCCTAAAAAAAAATTATAACAAAAGAATATGCAAAACTTATTAGTTTATGGAAAAAATGTTTGTCATTTTAAATAACATAACACTCTGCCTTTTTAAGAGAGAGACAGACACAGAAAAAAATTTATTTAAATTTTAAATTAAAAAAAATCACCCACTTTCTCTCTCCTATGATTTCCATTTTTCTGTGTCTATCTCTCTCCTAAAATGACATAACTTATATCATTTAAAATGGCAAACACCAAACCCTTAGTTTATTACAAAAAAAAGAGTTTTGTAAGAGTTATGTTGTAGGAAAAGTGATTCTGTTATGTTATAGAGATTCGTTTTGCGTGTCCCACAAAATGTTGTGTGTGTAGAAAAGTTATTGTGGTCATGTTAAATGATAGAAGCAAAACCCAAAAAAAAAAATGGCAAAAGATGAAAAGAGCGAACCAGTAAATGGTGTCTGCCAAACAATATAACTAGATGTAGATCAAAGCAAACAAAGAATGAAGTTAGACAACAGTGAGAGAGAGACAGATGAGACGGAAAGGCAGACGCGAGACCTGTCTTGTTCTTCTGGTAAATCACAGCGAGAGAGACGCGAGACCTGTCTTGTTCTTCTGGTAAATCATAGCAGCGAGAGAGAGAGAGAGACGTGAGACCTGTCTTGTTCTTCTGGTAAATCACAGCAGCAAGACCACAACGAGAGAGAGACGCGAGACCAGTGAGACAGAGGCAGACGAGAGACGTGAAACGATTAGGTTAGGTTTTTGTTTTTATTAAATGTTATTTTTTAAAAAAATATATTTAATTTTATTAATATATTTTAGTTTTTTTAAAAAATAGTTTTTTAAAAAATATTGCTTTTTATAAAAATGTCATTTGACCGTGTCAGACAAGGTCAAATTCGCGGGTCGAAATGATCAACGTGTCAATAAAGTTGACTGTGTCGGACACCGTATCGGACCCGATACTCTCTGTTTTTTCACGTGTTCGTGCTTCCTTTTATATTTAAGGGTTTTCTTTTTCTGCAGTTACTGCAGATAAATTATCTGCAGTAAGTCCAATACGACGTCGTTTTGAGGCAGAAATCATAGTGTTTTTGTGTTTTAATTTATTTCAGGGTTATAATAGTCTTTATATTTATAATTTTTTAAGATTTCAATACCAAAACGACGTCGTTTTGAGAATAAATGCAGATAACTTATATGGAGTAACTGCAGAAACATTTTTCCCTATATTTAAACCCAAGCATTCCAAATATTTTAGAATGAGTATAATACTATAATGACAAAATTACTAAATCAATCATTTGATAAAGCTCTCTAATAATAGTATTTCTATTCAACTTCTTAGCCACTCCAAATCCTTCTGTTAGGTCCTGGATAGACCGTATTGCTATACCGTATGGTATGCGCTCAGAGATAGTGTATATCAGGTGTATACTATGCTTATGCCGAGGTCCCAATCACTGCGCACAAGCAATAGGCTAATAGCCAAGGGGTGGGTGTGTGCACAATGTGGGCATTATCAGTAAATAGGTTAAAAGTGTTTACCTGGGGTCCTTAGGCTCTTATTTATAGGATTACCTTCCTAGGCTAGGGCCTTTTGAGCTCCCCCAACTGCAGTAGGATTTAACTCCCTTTCTGTTGGGATGTGATCCCTATCTTGTGCCTCTTGGCTGTTTAGAGCTGTTGAGATGTTTATGACTCTATCTCTTACTAGATTCTTAAATGGGTAGTTGGGATATGATATTCATATCCATAACAGTTACCCCCCAGCTCGGTATTCCGAGGCTCAGAATGCCAGGGTGCTGTTGAGTTACCTTGGATCTAGCGCGCCAGAGTTCCTTGGTCTCAGATTTAAACTTTCAAGTTTTTGTCATCTGTATTACAGCTCAGATTCTCTTATCGAGATTGTTTGCGTAACGCCTCTTGATCTTCCCTGATGTGCATATGTGAAGTCGAGTTCTGACATGTCAGATTTTCCTTGAGTTCGTTTTCTGCCTGCGAGCATTGTTTGGTCCGAGATTCAGCTTCATCATGTTAAGTCGAGTTGAAGCTTTCGTATATGACCTCATGCCTAACCCACGAGGTTCAAGACGACATTGCGGCTCGGAGGTCGGAGTTTGATCTTATCAGATCCCCCTGACCTTTCACTTCACATCTGCTGTGACGGTTGCAAGCTTCCACATGCCTTCCTCTTATTGGGGGTTCGTGCATCGTGCAGGGCGCACCGTATTGAGCCTTACAGGGGCCGTGATTGAGCGCATTTAATGCACCCAGGGTGAAATTCCCTTTTTGCCCCCCTTTGCTCAACTGTTTGGAAAACCTTTTCGTCTTCGCGTCTCATGCTCTTCATCCTTTAAATACTAGTTTTCAAACAGGTATTGGACTTTTACTTTCGTCTGGTTTTGCTGTGATCCTTTTCTCCCCGTTTGCAGCTGTTTACGAAAGCTTTTCCTGGGTTTGCATTGTCGTTAATCGATTTCCAGTTCTGATTTTGTGCTTTCGAAACTCTCTTGGAGCTTTTGTCATTTCCAATGAAGGTTTTCGCACGTTGAGTCTAGTCCTCACCCTTGCTTCCACATCCAGGTACCTTATTGTTCCTTACTTTACGAGTACTTTTCGTCTGGTTTGAGTTGAACTCAGTAGTTGTCCTTGTTTGAAGCGAAGGTGGTGTTTATATTCCTTTCTTCAAAGTGTTGAGTTTTGCGTTTCCTTTTTCGGAGTGTTATTAGGGATTCATAATGAGTGTCCCTGGTTCCTCTTCTGGCACGACTTTTGGCCGAGGTGATGAGATGAGTGAGGAGGTAATGAGGCAATTACCTAGGTCAGTATAGTACTGGCTCTTTGATAAAGATTACACTTAGGAGGAGAAGCTTCAACTGCTTCTCCGCGGTCATAGGGGAGGTCGTCGGAGATCTCAGGGTGGCGTCGGCAGGAGAGGGAGAGGTCGGAGAGGAGGAGGTCGTCAGGGTCAGCTTAATTTCGGCCCAACCAGCTCTTCCTTAGCGAGTCCTTCGATTCTTGGGTCGAGTTCTTCTCCTGATCCTGTCCCTTGGTATTATATTTTGCTATCCACCCAGGTGACTCCAGGTCCGAGGTCCGTGCTGGATCAGATTCCTCCTCTTGGTTTGAGTGATAGCTCATCCAGTCTTTCTTCATCTGAGCTGGGTTTCCCTGAATCAATCATTCCTTCTTCTCTTGATGATGCTATTTCAAGTCGGGTACCGTTTGTTGACCTCGTCAACAACTCTGATAGCTCCGTTCCTTTTTCCTGGAGCCCATGTTCATTGCCTTCCGACTTCGGAAGTCCGAGGTCAGATTTTGTTGATTTGTGGACTGATCCTTGTCCTTCGTATTCCAGGGATATAACTATGGACGGGTCTGACGCGCAAGATTGGGCCCTCCTCGAGGTCCTTCAAAAGCGGTCCGTGATGTCTCCTGCCGACGTGGCCCAACTCCCAGTGGGGTTGATCTTCTTCCACCCGGCGACTACCCCGTGTGCTCTGGTCCTATTTTGGACGAGCCTCATTTCTTTTATTTCTATAGGGACCTTATCACCAAGCTGGGGATTCGGTTTCCCTTTACCGACTTTCAAACGGCAGTGCTTCGCCGTCTTAAGGTTGCACCGTCACAACTCCACCCTAATTCATGGGCTTTCATCTGGGGTTTTGAGCAAGTGTGTGCCTACCTTTGCTTGCCTTGTACAGTTTCCCTTTTCTTCTTTTTCTTTGACGTATATACCTTTCGTACTGGTGCAGAGGTTAAAGAAAAGAAGGGGTGGGTAACCCTTCGAGGTACTCCTGGTA